AACTTATTTGAGTTAACCATACACTTTATCTGAAACATGAATTTTAAGAGACTCATGGAGGCACCTGGTGGCTCAGTTGGTTAAGTGCCTGCCTTTGGCTCAGGTCATGATCCCAGGGTCCTGGGATGGAGCCCCTCATCAGGCTCCCTGCTCGGCAGGGAGTCTGCTTCTCCCTCTTCAGCCCACCCCTCGACCCCCGGTCATGCACTCTTTCACTCTCACTCTCGCTCTCAAATAAATAAATAAATATATAAATAAATCTTTTAGAAAAAGACTTATGGATCTAGAAAGCATTTGGCAAGCTTCACATATTTAATTTTTGTTATTTAATTAAGTGCACTGCTTATGTTTTCATTATATTTCAGCTTGTTGCCTAATACATTAGTCACTCTCCCAGCAGAGCTCATAGAACTAAGTTAATTAATGGGTACTTTTAAATAGGTAACTGTTGTATGAGCCATCTTGCCTATAAAAGTAGCTGCCCATAATTATCTGCTGACTACTACTAATACTTGCACCTTAGTTCAAAGGGCCAGGATTGTACCACGTTATTCTGAATACTGCTAGAACAGCTTGGGGTTATGAATCAAACTGAATTATATTACATTAAACCCTTTTTCAAAAGTCTATTGCTGGTTGAGAAACTGAATGTGGTCATCCATAATGTGTGACTAGTCAGTCCGAGTTTATTTGGTGGGTAAGCTGTTCTGCACATTTGTTTTGTAGGAGCTGATGTTGCTAATGTCTGTAACGAAGCAGCTCTGATAGCTGCGAGACACCTCTCAGATTCCATAAATCAGAAACACTTTGAACAAGCGATTGAGCGAGTGATTGGCGGTAAGCAAACTGAATGTACCTCAAGTCAAAAGGCTGATAAAATAAGTTTGAGGCCATGGGTTTCTCTGTTTTGGCAAGATCTAGAAGGAAAGTCTCTCCACCCAGCTTGGGGTTACCATGCCCCTGCTATGTTCCCTCAGTGATGTGAGGGTGCCCCCCCGCCCCCGCCACAGTCTGGTAGAGGTGGATGCTGTTGGTTTGGGGGAGTCTGAGACAGACAGCATCCCACACCATACCTGACATGTGCAGCAAGCAGCAAGGTATCTACCCCTGAATTTTACTGGTCTAGTGTTTTGAAAATGCTCGCAACCTTTCTGTTTTAAATTGTACTGCATGATTTAAATGTGCTCTCTGTTACGGGGACATACATAACGTGTTTTCCCAGCTTTCTAGGGAGCTTATAATTTAAATACCTGTAAAAAGCTAACTAGCAATTCCAGAACTTGGGTATTCAAAGAAGTGAAGGGCACTGTGGTCAGGCAGGGCTCTGCAGAAGAGGCAGGATTTAAACCAGGCTCACCTGAAAGAAGAGGTTGGTGTCAGAGAGGCAAGAACAGAAGGCGGTTGGTAGCAGGGGTGGGAAAGTAAACCAGTCAGGCTTAAGTTCCTTTGAGAAGGAAGTAAAGCTGGAAATAGCTGCTTGGGTCTAGATTTTAGAAATCCTTCAATGTTAAGGTCAAGGGCTTTTTAAACTCTTGTTCTGTGTCCAGTATTGAACTAACGTGGGATTTTTCTGGAGTCATTGAGTAGCATAATCGGTGATATTTTAAATAAAAGGAGTCTGACATTGAAGAAGGGGGAAGCATCAGAAGGCAGAAAACCTTGTAGTCATTAACGTGAGATAGTGGATTTTAGCATAAGTGGTCCCAGTAGTAACAGGCCAAAAAAAAAAAGACAGTCTCACTGGCCTTGGGAAGAATGGGGCGCTTCAAGAGGCAGCCAACTTGGCAGAAGATGAGATGGGCAGAATTGGAGACGGGGCAAGCTGTCCACATGGAACTCTGCAGCACCCCAGCACCACAGTGTGTGGTTCCCATGGTGTGGAGGTGGGTGAGAGCACTCCAGGGGACAGGCCCACACAGTAAACACTGCCTGCATTTGGCGGCAGAGGGGAGAAAAGTGAACCAGCGGATTCACCAGAGCTTGTGTGCCACAGGCCCGGAGAGCGCATCAGGGAAAAAGACAAGGAGTAGATTCCATGAAAGGAAACCCAGGAGGTCAGAAGAAATGGAAGATAAGGGCAAAGACACGTTTATAAAGCACTTGTCATTGGGATCAAGTGATGTGAGAACATTGAGGAGGATGACCTTGGATTTAGCAATGAGATTCTTCTTGGTGATTTCTGTCATGACAGTTTCAATTGAGTGGATGCCAAACTAATAGAGATTCCAGCAAGGATCTAGAGGCTAGTATAGCAGTGTGTCTGACCTGGATTAGGTGCTACCTAAGTAACCCTTGAACGAATGAATGGACTACTTATTCTAGAAATTTGTTATTGAAAGGAAAAAATCTAAATTGACGGAGTTGTTAGTGGAATTAAAGCAGTTCACTGTAGAGGCAGGTGAGAGCCGCGTATGTGTCTGTGCCTTTTAGGTGGGGGGAAGAGTCAGTGCTCAGTGTGAAAGACATCAAGGTGGCACACCCAGGAGGGGCCTCGCTCTGAGGTACACAGACACCTGCTCCCAGCTCAGCTGCTGTAAACCAGCCACAAGCCATTGTTCTATAGTATGCCTCCTGGGAAAATGAAAACTTAGGGATAAACCAGGGGGTGGGTCAGAGTTCTTGTTTTTCTCATGTAAGCAAGAACTGCTCGTCTCTACTTAGTAACTCACCTTTTATCAATCTCTGCCCTTCCAGCTCTGTTATTGTCTTGGGTTAGGTCATTGGGAACATAGCACTTTTTTTTTTTTTTTAAATCTTTCTGACTCAATATGTTATCATTTGCGAAATTCTCTCAGATGTATTAGCTTGAACACAACAAAGCTACTTTTGTCACAGTGTGACAATTTGTGTTGGTACAAATGGTGTAGTTCATTTCTGTGGTACAGAAGGACAAAAGGAGGTTTAGTGTCCACCTTGATCCAGGCCAGAGAAGACTTGGACTAGGGGGGCTGCCTGCTGTATAGTCAACGCAGTGGGTGTCTCTTGGGTTTGTTTTCCCAGGTCTCCCCTGCTGGAACCCCCTGGGCCAGTTGATTACTGTGGCAGGTGCCAGAGCATTGGCCTGGCCAGCTTGCTGACTTGGCATTTTCACATCTTCAGCTAGCTCCGTTCCTCCTCACTTGCCATGCTTTACATCAGGAACAGGCGGCAAGTGGTCTCCTGCACGTTTGTTTGCCCAGTGCTTGTTAATTCCAAGGACCTGGATTCAAAAGGAGATCGTTCCAGACCTCTTTGTCTTCTCTGAACTTTAAGTTGACCTAAGTGCTGAGTTTTATTTTGCATTTCGATTGCCCAAAACAAGTTAGGTGGCTCAAAAGACTGGGAGAGTTAGGGAAAAAAGTGGGCCTCGGGGTCGTGAATGCATTTTGCAAGTGGCTGGGTGTATTTTGGAGCTGGTCCTTTAAGCCTGACCGTGGTTGGGAATTTACAAATTATCATAGGCAGCTTAGTCGCTAAATCACCTTTTAGCTAAGGCAGTGTGTAGATTGTATAACTGTCTTTTTATGTCGGTGCCACTGAGGCAGTGGTTTTTTGACGTTTCGGTATTATTTTGTCAGGCTTAGAGAAAAAAACCCAGGTTCTGCAGCCCGAGGAGAAGAAGACCGTGGCATACCATGAGGCAGGTCATGCGGTTGCCGGGTGGTACCTGGAACATGCAGACCCACTACTAAAGGTAAAGCTGTTTGTGCTGAACAGTAGGCCAGCCAGCTGATCCTGTGAGCAGTTACCTGAGGAGAAGATTGCATTCCCACTAAGGATAGGTACATAAAATTCGGCCAAGACGTCTGGTAATGATGGTGGGATGAAGGGGTTATATAAACCCTCCTGCAGAGAAGTTACAAAGTTTGGAAAGAAAATTGTTATTTAAAGGGACCAAACAGTGTCCAAAGCAGACCAAAGCTGGAGGAGAGTTTCCTTTTGCAAACCAGTAGCTGCAGTGGTTTAGAATTGGGAGCTCGTGGCTTCCTTCCCTGAAGGGTTTTTTCTAGGGCCACAGCGATGGAAAAAGCTGGTCTTATCTATACATTGAGGTGGCAGAGGAAGGAATTCAGAATTTGAAGAATATTGGAAATTTAATAGGAAAATCCTGGAAGCAAGAAAGCTACAGAGGAGTTAGACCCACGTCCAAGTAGAAACTGCCCAGCTCCCTGGATCACCACTACACTGTGCTTGCACAGGAGAATCCAGAGAGCCTGGCAAAAAAAAAAAGAGAGCAGAGGCCAAAGGGAAATCTCCTGAAAGATGGGTGCACCAAGTGAGATTGGTAAATTTTTGCTTTTTCAACTGAGTGTGGTCCCCAGACTGGTGCAGCACAAGCAACAGGAAGCCATAATCTGACTTGTGATGTCAGGGGACTTCTGGAAATGGAGGGGGATCCCCCTGAAGCAAGGGGACCACAGAGAAGATAACATTAAAGTGTGTGGAATAGAGGTACCTGGCTGGCTCACTTGGTGGAGGGTACCACTCTTGTTGACCGTGGAGTCTTGAGTTCAGGCCCCATGTTGGGGTAGAGTTCACTTTAAAAAAATAAATAAATACATACATAAATAACCACCTTAGAGAATCTGCAGAGAAGCGACTAGAACCAGTAAGGGAAATTAACAAGTTGCAGAATTCAGGATCCATATACAAAAATCAGTTGTATTTCTGTATATTAGCCATGAACAATCAGAAAATGAAATTTTAAAAAATTCAGTTTCATTTACAGCAGCATCTAAAAACATGAACATGGCCAGGCCAAATGTACGTAGGGATACGTTTATTGAGGTACTTGTAGGATCTGTACACTAAACGAAACAAGACCTAAATAAAAATAGAGACATAGGGACACCTGGGTGGCTCCGTCAGTTAAGTGTCTGCCTGTGGCTCAAGTCGTGCTGGGATCAAGACCCACTTTGGGCTTCCTGCTCAGCAGGGAGTCTGCTTCTCCCTCTGCCTCTCCTTCCACTCATTCTTTTGCTCACTCTGTCAAACAAATAAAATCTTAAAAAAACAGATATACTGTGTCCCTGCAATGTTACGATCACCGTTCTCCGCAGATTCATGTATAGTAACAGTGCAATCTCTGTTTTAAACGTAGCAGACTTTTTTGGAGAAATTGATAAGCAGATCTAAAATTTATACAGAAATCAGGTCAACTAGAATAGCCAAAACAATGGAGTTCGAAGGAGTTACATTGCCTATTTTAAGACCTTGTATATAGCTAAAGTAAAGAAGATTAGTATTGCAGAAGGGACTGAACAGATCAGTGGGTTGGAATAGAAATAGACCCAGAAATAGACCCTCACACATAATCGACTAATAGATTTTCAGCAGAGATCCCAAAATAATAATTGAAGGCGGGGAGGATTATCTTACCAACAAAAGATTCTGGCAACTTAGTGTTCATGTGGGGGGAAAAAAGCTAACATTGACTCTCAGATCATATGTAAAAAATTAATTTGAAATAGATTGTAATAGCTAAAACAACAAAGTTCTGGAGGAAAATGCAAGTTAAAATCTTTGTAACCTTAGATAGGCAAAAATGTCCTAGTACACAAAAAGCATGAACCACAAAAGAAAAAGTTGATAAATGGGATCTCAGCAAAATTGAAAATGTTTTGTCTTTGAGAGACACTATTAAGAAAATGAAGAGCAAGCCACATACTCTGGAAAAACGTGCAATATAGGTATATGACAAAGGACTTACACCTAGAATAAGTAAAAAAAAAAACCAAAAAACCTATTAAAACTCAAAAATAAGCAACCCAGTGAAATCATGGGCAAAAGATCTGAAGGTATACAAATGGACATTAAGCACATGAGGATACTCAGTTTCATTAGTTTTTGGCAAAGTGTAAATTAAACCACAGTGAAATACCACCACATACCCACTGGACTGGCTCAAGTTAAAAAGTCAGTCCTAAGTGTTGGCGAATGTCAGTCTAGCTGGAGCTCTCATCCGTTGCTGATGGGAATGTGAAATGGTATAACCATGTTGAAAAACAGTTTGACAGCTTCTTACAAAGGTAAACGCTTCTGGGGCGCCTGGGTGGCTCAGTGGGTTAAAGCCTCTGCCTTCAGCTCGGGTCATGAGCCCAGGGTCCTGGGATCGAGCTCCACATCAGGCTTTCTGCTCGGCGGGGAGCCTGCTTCCCCCTCTCTATCCGCCTGCCTCTCTGCCTACTTGTGATCTCTGTCTGTCAAATAAATAAAATCTTTAAAAAAAAAAAAAAGATAAATGCTTCTGTACAGCCAGTCTCCTATATAATCACTCAAGAGAAATAAAAACATGTCCACACGAAGACTTACTGCTTGATCCATAATAGCACTAAACTGGAGACCGCCCTGATGTTCCTTGAGAATGAAACGGATGTTTGGTTTGTTTACACAATGGAATGCTACCCAGCAGTAAAAATGAATGAACTATTAATACACCTGGCAGTGTGGGCAAATCTCAGAAACAGTAAAGGAAACCAGACACAATAATGTACATACTGTAGGATTCCATTTATATGCAGTGCCAGAAATTGTAACTAATCCATAGGGACTGGTCGCCTATCTCCGGCGCCAGGGCTGGAGTTGGTGGGGTTGGGGGCGGGGGTTGGGGGGGTAGGTAAGACTGAGCAGAAAGAGGTACAAAAGAACTTTGCAGAGCAAAGAAAAGATTTTCTGTCTTTATTGTGGAGGAGGTTGTGTTTGTCAAAACTCACTGGACTATAACCTAAAATGGATGTGTTTACTGAATATAAACTATCCCTTAGTAAAGCTGATTTTTTAAAAATTTTAAGGAATTTACTCTGTTGCAAAAAGCACTAGGAGAGAAAATAAAGGCGCTGAGCATCTAGGTCTGCCTTCCTCTTCGTCCTGTAAAGGAGGATGTGGCTGGGGCTCCAAGAAGTTGAATGGCACCTAGCCCGTATTTGAGCTGTCAGGAGTCCTCCCTCACCAGCTGTCCTTCCATCAGGATCGAATAATTTCAACTGTGTTTTATAAAAAGACAAGAAATACTTTCTAGAGCTTCAAGGTGAAGTTCTCCTAAGAGAAAATACGCCCCCAGATAGTCAACAACTGCTGGATCTCGTCTTGCCAAGCCTGATGTGTTGCCCAGCTGCTGTGTTTGTGTTTCAGCAGCAAGCTTATTTATGTGCAGATAAACACCCTGGTCAGCATTTGGTGGTGGAATCCTCAGCATCTTGTGTGTTTTCTACTTGCCAGGTCTCCATCATCCCTCGGGGCAAAGGACTGGGTTATGCTCAGTACTTACCCAAAGAGCAGTACCTGTACACCAAGGAGCAGCTCTTGGACAGGATGTGCATGACCCTGGGGGGCCGGGTGGCGGAAGAAATCTTCTTCGGGAGAATTACAACTGGTGCTCAAGATGACTTGAGAAAAGTAACCCAGAGTGCCTATGCTCAAGTAAGTGGATGAAATGGGGGGTTTCTTCCTTGCTCTTCTACATTTGCACAAGAAATGGACATTTGCGGTTGGCTCTAAAACAGTACTGTTGTGTTTAACTGGCTTAGGCTTTTCAGGCAAGAAAAAATTCGTTTTTTTTGGTAGTGTAACAATTAAAGTTTACGGATTTCTCCCGCTCTCTGAAAGTCCAGCCTTCCTTTGAAACCTTTTGGGAGCCAAAATGGCTCAAAGCAAAGAAGCACTTACTGTTAATTGATATGGGAAAATTTCTGAAAGTTCCCAGACTGCAAAACTAGCCTCTGGTGGACCGCTGTGCCTCAGGACTCAACTTCCGTGGGGACTGCAGTGTGGCTCACTGCCCCGGGGGGGGCGTGCCGCCTCTGTCGCAGCTGCAGAACCTGTGTGGAGCACTGTTTTTGCCTTTTTTCATCAAAGGGGAAGTCCTCTTTCTCCCGGTTAGCGAAAGCAGGTGCTGCTGGAGGCCATAAAAGCATAGTGGCCCAAATGAACTGTCGAAAGACGGGGGATACATGTGACCAAGAGTCTCTAAAGCATATGTGCAGAGTTCAAAGCTCTGTTACAGGCCTCTGTGATCCCACAGTGCAGCATTGCCTGTACCCTGGGCTGTCCCTAAGAGCATCCCTTCTTCGTGCCCTCCCTTCCTGCTGGACCAGCCACTCTCCTGACTTGTTACTGTCATGCCCACATTTTCCTTACCTATCCCTGGTGCATACATCCCCAAACAATGTAGTTTTGCTATCTCCGAACTTAAATGACTTTTTTTGGAAACCTGTTACCTATATGTCACCTCTTCTGGTCTGTCACTTTTTCAAGTCTTTTTTAAGAGTGAACAAGCAAGAGAGCGTCCCTTTAAAAAAAAAAAAAAACTTTTGAAAAAGATTTGAGGGGTCCATGGGTGGCTCAGTCCATTGAGCACCTGCCTTTGGCTCAGGTCATGATCCCAGGGTCCTGGGATCAAGCCCCATGACAGGCTCCCTGCTCAGCGGGGAGCCTGCTTCTCTCTCTGCCCCCCACCACCTTGTGTTCTTTAGCTCTCTCTCAAATAATAAAATCTTTAAAAAAAAAAAAAATAATAACAAATATGGCTTCCTGCTTTCTGAGTTCTCTTGGCTGTTTTCCTGTTCCTCACTTTCATCTGGGCCTTTTTTAGTCAATTTGGATTTTACTTCCAGAAACTTCTTAATGTGGGGCATTTTAGTTTTGGGGGCTCATAGGGTCCAGGCTTGACCTGGTGGCTTCAGGGAACAGGAAAATGCAAACGCCCTTCCAGGATCACTTGTTCTCAGGTTGACACACTGCCCTTTCCAGGAAGAGCCTGGAGGACTTGCGTTTTAAATTCTTGAGTCTGTCAGAACCTTCTTGCTTCTTTACCTCCCCTCTTGCAGGGAGAAGTATCTTGCAGGTTTTGTAGATGTTGTCTGTGGGCTTCTTGTCTTGTGTCCCTAGTTGAGTAGTTTAAAATGCTATTCATTGCTGCACTGTCTGCATAGAACACCCCATCCAGTCAGCCAGCACAAGGCTGCCTTGTAAACTTTGCCCAGTTAAAGAGTAGTATTACAGCAAAGTATGTGGAGTTAAGGCCGGTATGAAGACGTACTGCCATTTTACAAGTCAGTCTGTCAGCAAAACCAGATGCGCACCACTAATCATGTATTCTTTTTCAGATTGTTCAGTTTGGCATGAACGAGAAGGTTGGGCAGATCTCCTTTGATCTCCCACGTCAGGGCGATGTGGTTTTAGAGAAGCCTTACAGCGAAGCCACCGCGAGACTGATAGATGACGAAGTACGAATACTTATTAATGATGCTTATAAGAGAACAGTGGCTCTCCTCACAGAGAAGAAAGCTGATGTGGAGAAGGTGGGTGCTAGTTGTAGGAATAATTTTCTTCGTGATTTTGAAAAAAAAAAAAAAAAAGAAAGAAAAAGGTTAAAGTGATGGATGTACTGTTTGGTTTGGTTTGTAGACATTAGCGTTTCCTGTGACTGTAACTCTTGGGTTCCTTTCTTCATTCTGGTTCTATGTCTGCTCTGTCTCTGTGAGGAGGTGGGAGCACAGGATTAATGGATCTGCTCATGGCCACAAAATACACAACTGAGGCATTCCCTCCCCACCACCCTGTGTTTTACCCGTATTCCTCAGTAAGGAGCACAGTGGACTGACAGGAATTTACTGTTGTCTTTCACCTCTGGAATAAACAGGTACTGATGAAAGTGCAAACAAAAGCCAGCCCACATGAAATTGGCACATGAAAATTACCTTTGGTTTAATTACAAGCTCTGCAAATAAACATGCTCTGTGTTTTCTGTCCTACTTCATATGACCCCACCTACCAAAGGGAGGGTTTCCTTCTGAATTCGGTGGATTTCTTGCATCCAGTAAACTCTTAATTATTCAGAATCCGTGCAACCAAAAGCAGAGTTTTTTTGTTCTTTGAACATTCCACACTCCTAAAGCACAAATGAGAAAGACATTTAGGAGGGATTGATAACGGATAAAAGAATATTCCAAGATACGCTCTTCCATCAGTAAGGCAATCCAGAAGCATCTGTGATGTCTTCTCACAAAAGTATGCAGTGCAGGCTGAGATTGCTGGCGCCCTCCACACTGGAAAGCACCCACAGGACCTCAGAGAAAGGGAGATCCAAGTGGTCAGCAAAGGCTTCGTGTAGAAGATAGAACTTAGGTTGTATGTGGAAGGGTATGTATGTATAGATAGATATGTATAGATTGTCTGTAGAAGGGTAGTCGAGTTACAGTGAATGAGTTGAGGGGAGCAGATGGCGGCGTGCAGACCTGGGGAGCAGGAAGGGTGTGGGGAGCAGGGCAGGGCTGAGCGGAGAGTTGGAGGGAGGGAGCTGCAGTACCCAGGTTCTCAAAAGCTAGCTAGAAAGTTTAGAAACACAGTTTTAGAAATAAGAGTGACCTTCAAAATGATCTGATCCAGCCCCTTTGTTTTAGAGCAAGGAGTCCTTTAGGAGTGTTGAAATGATGAAGTCCATCATTTGCCGGAGTGTGGCAGCAGTGTGCCCGCCCAGGGGAGAGGCAGAGACTGCCGCTGTGGGCTCAGCCCTCCCACGGTGCTGGGACTAGTAGTGGAAGTAGGGCAAAGGCCCATCTGAAAAAAATTGGGATTTATTGGTTAAATGCACAGAGTGAACAAGAAGAAAGCCCTTGAGATGACTCCTAGTGGCAGACATAGGGTGGGGGTCAGTCTCGAACCCAGGAGAACACGGGCTGTGGGCATCTGCGAATGAAACATGGACAGCAGGTCCAGGCTGGAG